AATACAAGCTAACAGTAATTTTACTTTTATATATCACATTTGTTTATTAAATTAATCAATATGTAGTATTGTTTATTATTAAAAAGTTATTTGAAAATTTAATATAAAATGTTACCTTGTAAAATATTACTTAATAAGAAAATGTTATTTTGCAAAAAAATAAAATTCACAAAACAAATCTTTGGTAAAATATATAATTTTTTATAAAAGGTTGCTTTTAATAAAAAAAAATAAAAGTTTTTTAAATTAAATTTAATATCAGTTTTACTATTAATTTTTGTTTTTTTTTTAATAACATTTTTATAACATAAAATTTGGTTTGTTTTATAAATATTTTTCTATGAGTATATTAGACAAAGAAAAAAGCAGAAGTAAATAATTCAATGTACTTTCTTTTAACTTCTAAGAAATTCCTAAGAGAAATCATTTTATGCATTCCAAATATGTATGGTTTTGCTGATGGAATTCGTTGATAGCTGTTAGTACTTATATCGAAATGTTTCATTCCATTATCTAAATTTATTTATAAAAATGTCAATGCTATATAATGAGCATAACATAAGATATCATTAATCTACGAATTTCTGTTTTTTTAAATGCATGAATGACATTCTTGATGCATAAAAAAACTTTTAAAATAAAGATATTTATCTTTCATAGAAAAACAAGACTTCAAGGAAGAAAAATCCAATAAAAAAATCTATAAGGAAAATCTAAGGATTTTTCTTTTAAAAATTTCTTAAGTATAATAGACTTTCTTTTAATCCTGTGAGATCAGATTCTATGTCAAATAATAGTCAATTTATCCAGAAACATGTGCAAAATTAATATATTTTAATATAGTTATGAATTGAATAAATATATATTGTATATAAATGTTTATTATATGTTTATTTGTTTAAAAGATATATAATTATGATGTAAGAAAAGTTATAGCATCATATTATCCGAGTGTTTCATTAAAAAAACTCGATTAAAATATGGCTCGTTAAATCAGAGACCAATTAAAACAAAAGGATCTAACTTTTAAATTTTAGATATTGTTTATAATGGATATTTATAAAATTTTATTAAATATTTTTGGAATTTAATCCTTATTTTTTTAACATTGTTTTTCGTCTGTCCCTAAGTATAAAAAATAGTTGTACCTAAAAAAGTGAATATTGTATATCTGAGAATATATGAGAACATAAAATAAAACACAAATTTGAATGAAGAAATAACACTATATATTATAAATAAACTATAACTATTAGTAATAAAAATAATTTTAATCTAAAAATTAAATGTCGATGAGAAAAATAAAAATATTTAAATATTTAATATTTTAATGTAAAATAAGTACCGATAAAATATAAAACAAATATTCGTCAATTTTAAATGAAAGTTTAAAGAAATTAAAGTTAAAAGTTTATTATTTTTTATCTAACGATACTAAAAATGTCCTTAGTGAATGTATATTATTATTGATTATAGAATAATATAAAGTTTATGCATATATATATATATATATATATATATATATACTACACACACACACACAACA